GCATGAAAATCTGATTCCTGAGGTTCCATTTTAGCCAGAAGAAATTTCTTTGATTTTTTTCTTTTTAAAGGAAGCACATGCATGTTTTAAAATATAGTTTAAGTTAACATCTTTGGAGCCATTTTTAGGCACTATGCCTTTTATGTATATTGTTTTATTTTTCCTCCCTGTGACATGGGTATTGCTGTTAATCCCATTTACAGATGAGAAAACTGAGGCACAGAGTAGGTGAATGACTTGCCCAAGGTCACCCAGCCAGTGAGTGGTAGGAAGAAAAAACAAACGTGGTCACCTGGCTCTGGAGGCTATGACTCCTACCTTCCACCATCCGTGCAGTTAAGAGCTACTTTTTTCTCTCTTTTCTTTGTATACTGAGATGAAATTTACATACCATAAAAGTAACCATTTTAAAATGAACAATTCAGTGGCATTTAGTACGTTCACAATGTTGTCCAACCACCACCTCTATCCAGTTCCAGAACATTTCTGTCACCCCAAAGGAAATCCCATCTCCATCAGCAGCCACTCCCTATCCTGCCTTCTCCAGCCCCTGACAGCCACTAGTTTACTTTCTGTGTCTGTGGATTTGGCTGTTCTGGACATTTCATGTACATGAAATCATACACTGCGTGGCCTTTTGTATTCTTTCACTCAGTACACTGTTTTCATGGTTCGTCCACATCATAGCATGAATCAGGGCTCCATTCCTTTGCATGGCTGAATAATATTCAATCATGTGGCTAGATTGCATTTTATTTATTTATGCTTTTATCCACTGATGGGCGCTTGGGCTGTCTCTGTCTCTTCGTTATTGTGCATAGTGAGAAGTTACTTTTTAAATTTATTTTAAAAGGTTGTTCAAGTAATATCTACACCCAGCGTGGGGGGGCTCAAACTCATGACCTTGAGATTGAGAGTCACATGCCCTTCTGACTGAGCCAGGCTGGCAACCCAGGATCTACTTTTGAATGTAAGAATGGATGAAAAGAAAAGAGAGGGTCCAATGTAGCAGCTAGTCTAAAACCCACATTTATAATTGAGGAAAGTGGGCACTTAGGTCTACATTTTGCCTAGTCTATGCTTGAGCTGGTCAATTGTTCAGCCAATATTCACGAGCACCTGCTGTGTGCATGTCCTGTCCTGGGGCAAGGACACCACCTTGTGGGGCTAGAAGTGCTTCTCAGGAGGCTGAGACATGAAGGCTAAGGAGAGAGTCCACTGACCAGAAAGTGAGGGGAAGAGTGTCCCACGCAGCGAGAACAGCCAGTGCAAAGGTCCTGAGGCAGGTGTGAGTCTGGTGTGTGGGAGGCTATGTGGGGAGGCTGGAGGAGGTGAACCAGGGAGTGGGGATGAAGGGAGAGGAGGGCAAGGAAGTTGGCAATGTCCTGCTCCCACAGGGCCTCATGGACCATGGTGGGGAGTTAGGATTTTTATTCTGAATGTGGCAGGAGGCAAAAACAGAGTGGGAGCTGGGGAAGGGTGGAATGTGATTTTTGATTCTGCCTTGGGAGGCAAGAGGTTGGGGCAGTGTGGGGTGGGAGACCATGGGGCTTGGGTCTCCAAAACAATTTGCCAAACAAAACTTAGGGTACCCCAAACCCTCCTACACTGTTGGTGGGAATGCAAGCTGGTGCAGCCACTCTGGAAAACAGTATGGAGGTTCCTCAAAAAGTTGAAAATAGAGCTACCCTACAACCCAGCAATTGCACTACTGGGTATTTACCCTAAAGATACAAACGTAGTGATCCGAAGGGGCTCGTGCACCCGAATGTTTATAGCAGCAATGTCCACACTAGCCAAACTATGGAAAGAACCTAGATGTCCATCAACAGATGAACGGATAAAGAAGATTGGAGATATATATAAATATATATACATACACACAGTGGAATACTATGCAGCCATCAAAAACAAAATCTTGCCATTTGCAACAACGTGGATGGAACTAGAGGGTATTACGCTGAGCAAAATAAGTCAATCAGAGAAAGACAATTATCATATGATCTCTCTGATATGACGAATTTGAGAGGCAGAGCAGGGGACTGTGGGGGGCAGGGAAGGACAAACTGAAACAAGATGGGATCAGGAGGGAGACAAACCATAAGAGACTCTTAATCTCATGAAACAAACTCAGGGTTGCTGGGGGGTCATGGGGGGAGGGACAGGGTGGCTGGCTGATGGACATTGGGGAGGGTATGTGCTATGGTGAGTGCTGTGAAATGTGTAAGCCTGATGATTCACAGACCTGTACCCCTGGGGCAAATAATACATTATATGTTCATTAAAAAAAAACTTGGGGTACCCCATAAATCCCACCCGAGGATCTCTCTGATAGCCACCGGGGTAGCATTTTCAAATTACTGAGTGAGATCTGGGAGTTCTATGAAACAGCCCTACTGATAATTATTACTCGGAGTATTCACTTTACTATGAAGAATGCTCGAGCAAAAGAGGGTCTTTCCCTGCTTGTGTGGTCATTTGAAACCATCACTCCAGGCCCATGGCACACAGCAAGCCAGTGAGCGTTTATGAATCGGTGGAAATGGAAACAGGGATCCCAGATGTAAAGCCTTCTCGGGGGTTTCACTGACAAGCCCCCTTGCCCGCTTCATCTCCAGGTGCCCACACCCTTTAAAGAATGTCCACCCTGATCCCACTGCACAGTCCAGGAAGGTGAGGCTTAGATGAGAAGGGAACATGAAGAGTAAAAATACTGATGACAGAGAAGTCATTATAAGAGAAATGAAACCATTTACAAAGTTTCTCTTAACGTGTGTTTTAAATGTCTTGAAATTGACCTCACAGAAAATGTCACCCCCCTCGCCTCCCAGCCATGTGCCTCAGCAGCGGTCTGCAGCCCACCCGGGCACCAGTGTTTGGGGGCGGGCAGGTCTGCCTCCGCCCTCATCTGTCTGGCCATGAGATTTCCTGGGGGGCTGGGCTCTTTCCGATCATGCACATCATTGGGCTTTGTGACAAGAATGGGGTCCCAGTTCCCTGTGTTGGCGTTTGAGACTCCCCCCACACATACACCTCATCCCACCTACCCTCCAGGTGTCTTTGTCTCCAAATGACCCTGACGCACTGTCTTGGGGGAGCAATTTGGAATGATCTGTCCATAAGGAGGTGCCTGCCTTGCCAAGTGTTGGCTACTCTCCAGCCACTGCGGTCAAATGAGCATAGCGTTGGGACAGCATGGATAGCAAGGTCAAGGCAACCAGATAAAGAAATCCTGAAGCCACTTAAGGAGATGCGGGAACTCACCTGCAGTGAATTAATTCAGTGAGGCCAAGTGCATGCAAAAAAGCCTTTGCCTGGGACCCATCCATAGAACCTTCCCGTGACATCCACCAGCAGTAGCATTTTCAAGCCAGTACATGAGACTGGAGAATGAAAGGAGACAATCCTGCCAATAATCGTTATTCAGAGTATTAATTTTACTGTGAAAAATACTCAGCGTTTCATGTTGAGCCAAAACCTTCATCGCCAAAAACCTTCATCTCCCTGCCCCTGGGACCTGGGAGTGGAGGGATCACTGTTCCTACTGTGCCTTGGGCTGTCTGGGGAAAGAGACCTGGTCCTAGGCTCTACCCGCAGGGAGTTAAGAGGAGGACACTTGCTGGACAACATGGAGAATCCAAGGAAAGAAAGCATCAGTATTTCCCCCAGAAAGGGGCACATGTAACCCAGTTTTGTGCACAATTTGTGATGTTTCTAAGTCACCTCATGCTCAAGGTCCTTAGGGTCCCTAAGGAGGTGGATCCCTCTGTAAACACATCCTGAGACCCTGCTATGTAGCAAGTATCAGATCTATAAATAATTCTTTTTTTTAAAGAATAATTTAATAATCCTATTAAATATAAGGAGGTTCTTTTTCTTTTTTTTTAATAAAGATTTTATTTATTTATTTGACACAGAGAGAGAGAGATCACGAGTAGGCAGAGAGGCAGGCAGAGAGAGAGAGAGAGAGGGGGAAGCAGGCTCCCTGCCAAGCAGAGAGCCCGATGCAGGGCTCGATCCCAGGACCCTGGGATCAGGACCTGAGCCGATGGCAGAGGCTTAACCCACTGAGCCACCCAGGGGCCCCAATAATTCTCTTTTAAAAAAAAGATTTTTATTTATTTATTTGACAGAGATCACAAGTAGGCAGAGAAGCAGGCAGAGAGAGAGGAGGAAGCAAGCTCCCCGCTGAGCAGAGAGCTCGATGCGGGGCTCCATCCCAGGACCCTGAGATCATGACCTGAGCCGAAGACAGAGGATTTAACCCACTGAGCCACCCAGGCACCCCTATAAATCTTTTTTTTAAAAGATTTTATTTATTTATTTGACAGAGCTCACAAGTAGGCAGAGGCAGGCAGAGAGAGGAAGGGAAGCAGGCTCCTGCTGAGCAGAGAGCCCGATGCGGGGCTCCATCCCATGACCCCGGGATCATGACCTGAGCCGAAGGCAGAGGCTTTAACCCACTGAGCCACCCAGGCACCCCTATAAATAATTCTTAACACGTGTAACAAAGAGGAAAGTATAATGACAACAGCAAAAACAAATGTGGTAATGGTAGCCAATATTAGTTGAGCACTTGCTGTGTGCCAGGCATGGCTTAGAATTCTTCATGTGAACTTGTTCATTTAATTCTTACAGCTACCTTGTGAATTAAGTACTTTTTTGTCCTGATTTTATGGATGAGGAAGCTGAGGCTCAGAGAGGTTAAGTAACTTGCCCAAGGCCACACAGCGTTCAAACTGGGCTGCTTAACTCTGAAGACTGCAGAGTTATGCTGCTGCCCGTAGAGATGTGGAGAGAGTTTGAGATTGGGGGGAGGGGAAGTGGGGGGAGGGAGGAGCTTTGGGGCAGACCAGTGCTTGCACCTTCCCTTCTACTCTGCCCCCTGAGTCAGGAGCCCCACCTGGTTTCTGTGGATGGGTCAGTGTATCCCCTGGGAGCTCATTCACCTTGCAGCCCTTGTCTAATGCCACAACACTCTTAACTCCTCTCCCTTCCAGGAGCTGGAGAAGCTCGGGCTTGGTGACAGTGTGGACCTGCACGTGTATGAGATTCCCGTCGAGTACCAGACGGTCCAGAGGCTCATCCCTGCCCTGTGGGAGAAGCACAGCCCACAGGTGAGTGGGGCAAAGGCAGGTGCTCCCTCATCAGGACCCGCAGGTGGGCACCCCACACATGGATGATTTGTTAGTGGCTTTGTTCCTGCTTCATTCACGTGCCTGATGACATGGCCTTGTCCCCCAAAAGGGCCATACTTTCCTGGGTTACCTGTGGATGTCAGGGAGGAGAGCAAACATTTGGGACCTCCCAGAGCCTAGCTCTGTCCCACTGGACAGTCAGTTTCAGTCATGACATGTTTGGTTATATGTGACAGTCAGAACACACCTTAGCCCAGCTTAAACGCCAGCATTTGTATGCTTCAGGTATAGCTTGATCCAGGCACTCTCCCAGTGCTATCACCATTCCCTCCTGGCCATTCAGCTTTGCTTTGCTCTTCATTTTTGCTTTGGCAAAGACAGATGGCTGCTGGGTGATACCCTCCCAACTGAGCCCCTCAGCTGAAGGAGAACAACCTTCCTTTTGGTAATTTCCCAGAGTCCATGGTTGATTCTCACTGGTGCACCTGGGTCCCACACTCAGTCCCTGAGCCAAGCACTACGGCTGGGGGGTTGGAGGAAGGAAGAAATGCTCTCATTTGTGAGGCCTGGTCACATGCCTACTTCGGTGGCCAGGAAGTGGCATCACCTCCCTCCAAACCTCGTGGAAGGAGAAGGGGGATTAGGGGGTTCCTCAAAGAGAGCATGAGAATGGCAGGGAACTGGCTATTGCCAGATGTGGTGGAATGGAAACAAGACAGGAGCTACATCCTCCCACCACAGATACATGTGGCCCCGCCCAGACAATGGACTTGGAGAGCCCCAGGGGGTCAGGAGTGAAAGCTGCCAGGGAAGTTGGGGGGGTGCTGGCCTCTCTGATGGGTGAGGTACTGGTGGCCTGTGGGGGCCCTGCCCAGCTTCCCAGCTAGCCTGCCCTTGCGGATTTTCCAGGGTCAACCCCTGGAAACCTCCTTCCTCAGGAGCTCTTCTGTTGGGTCTCAAATGGAATCCGTCCCTTTGTAGAAGGCAACCTGGAGGCTTAGTGAGATGTCCCTGAAGCCTCTGTGAGTGGGCATTTTCCTCTCTGTGTGTGCCGTCTGGCCTCTTTCTAGTTAAACAAACAAACAAACAAAATTACCCTAAAGGAAGAACCTGATGTTTCTTTTTAAAGATTTTGTTTATTTATTTGACAGACAGAGATCACAGGTGAGCAGAGAGAGAGGGGGGAAGCAGGCTCCCCGCTGAGCAGAGAGCCCAATGCAGGGCCAGATCCCAGGACCCCGGGACCATGACCTGAGCCAAAGGCAGAGACTTTAACCCACTGAGCCACCCAGGTGCCCCTGAACGTGTTTTTTTTTTTTTTTTTTTTTTTTAATTTCCACGCATAGAGAGTCAGCCCTGGGGAGTCACCGGGCACCACGGTTACGGCTGTCACTCACACGCGCCGGTGCCCATATGCACGCGCCGTTGAAAGCAGTCTGCGTGGACGCGGTTCCTGGGTCTGCTGTAGCAGACGCTGTAGACACTTAGAACAGCAGAAATGGGTTCGTCCATTCCCGGAGGCCAGAAGTCCACTATCCGGGCCTCAGCAGCGGCACCCCTGCTCGCCTGGTCTCCTCCAGCTTCTGGGGGCTCCACGTTCCTTGGCTTGTAGCGGGGTCTCTCGCGTGTCTGCGTCTGCGGTCACACGGACTTCCCCACGTGTCTCTGCCTTTCCTTCCTGCGTCTCTGAAGGACACGTGTCAGTGGATTTGGGGCCCACCCACACAATGCAGGGGGGTCTCCTCCCGTGATCCTTTTCTTTTTTGTGTCTGTGAACAACCCTTTTTCCAAATAAGGTCTCTGTCACGGTTTCCTGGCAGTGGAACAGGGACTTTTTGGGGGGGGGGGGGGGGGTTGGTATGAGGGGAGTATCACCATTCAGCTCATTATACTACAGCTGCTGCTTTGTTTTCACGTTCCCCGATTCTGTTTATGGAGTGCCAGGTGTGGGCCATCCAGTCAGTGAATGAACTTTGTAACTCCAGAGAGTTCCATTCTGCGCCAGCATGGCCCCCTAGACGTTATCACGCCATTCCCTAGGACCCTTTAAATGTCCCACTAGGAACCTTTTTAAAATGTCAGAATAAATGGGTGAAATAAATTTTAATAATATTTTCAGTCGGGGGGCGCCTGGGTGGCTCAGTGGGTTAAGCCGCTGCCTTCGGCTCAGGTCATGATCTCAGAGTCCTGGGATCGAGCCCCGCATCGGGCTCTCTGCTCAGCAGGAAGCCTGCTTCCTCCTCTCTCTCTGCCTGCCTCTCTGCCTACTTGTGATCTCTCTGTCAAATAAATAAATAAAATCTTTAAAAAATAATAATAATAATATTTTCAGTCGGGACGCCTGGGTGGCTCAGTTGTTAAGTGACTGCCTTTGGCTCAGGTCATGTTCTCAGGGTCCTAAGATCGAGACCCGCATCGGGCTCTCTGCTCAGTGGGGAGCCTGCTTCCCCGCTCTCTCTGCCTCTCTCTCTGCCTACTTGTGATCTCTGTCTGTCAAATAAATAAATAAAATCTTTTTTTAAAAATATAAATAAAAAAAATTATCTCGACCATAATCAACTTTAAAAGAGTTATTATGGAGATATCTTACATTCCCTTGTGTATGTAGGTGCCCAGCCTCCAAAATCTGGTGTGTGTTCCACACTGATGTCACATCTCAGTTCATACCAGCCGCATTTTCAGTGCCCACTAGCCATGTGCCCCCCCAACCACGGCCACCTGGAATGTTCCTCAGCCCCTACTTTAAATGTCTACATATATAAATGTTTACGCTTGTATTGCCCTTTCTGTGTGTAAGCATATACACAATTAATAGTTGAAATTCAACTGTATTCTTTGAGGTCTTCTGCCTTTTATAAATATTTTATCATGAGCATCTTATTACCTAGGTCATGAAAAAGTCTCCCTTAGGTTATTTCTTTTTGTTTTGTTTTGGTTTTTTTTCCAAATTAAATTCAATTAACCAACGTACAGTACTTCATTAGTTTCAGATGTAGTGCTCAATAACTTATCTCCCTGACGTCATTGTAACAGCTGGGCAACTTTTAGTAATGAATATAACTGTTTTTCCATTATTGAGCCTGCCAGTGTTTTCGTGTTTTTTTTTTCTCATTTTTAGAAAAAACACTGAAGTGACAACTGACAGATTATTACCTCTTTGCAGTCAAATGCTCTGCCACTTAGCTATATCCCCAGATTATGACCTCTTGGAACATAGGTTAGATTCCTGGAGGTTACACCTTGTCTCTGGTATTTGGCAATATGTCTTGAAGATCCTTCCTTACAGAACTGCTTTTGGGGGGCACCTGGGAGGCTCAGTCGGTTAAGCATCTGCCTTCAGCACAGGTCATAATCTCAGGGTCTTGGGTTCGAGCCCCACATTGGGCTCCCTGCTCAGTGGGGAGTCTGCTTCTCCTTCTCCTTCTCCCCCTCCCACCACTCATGCTCTCTCTCTCTCTCTCTCTCCCTCTCTGTCTCAAATAAATAAATAAAATCTTAAAAAGAAAAAAAAAGAACTGCTTTTGGCACATTAACAGCTACCTGGTAGCTCCTAATTTATTAGCCAGCTCCCTGGTAATGGCCAATGAGGTGGTTTCTGGTAACAGCTCGGGTAACACAGCTGCAGTGAACATCCTGGTATGTTGCACATCCGGGCATGTTTCCTGGGCAGACCTTTCAGTGAGATGACCGTATGGTCTCTTCCTGCAGCCGGGGGCCAGAAACAATGTGACCCTGGGCAGAGCCCCGGGGAGGATGCTGTCATCATCTTGGTCCGGGGTAGGGGGGATGGGACCCACAGTCTCATGGCCAAACCCGGTTAAGCCCTGCCCGTCTGTCTGCAGCTCGTGGTGCATGTGGGGGTGTCGGGCATGGCGACCACGGTCACACTGGAGAAGTGCGGGCATAACAAGGGCTACAAGGGGCTGGACAACTGTCGCTTCTGCCCCGGCTCCCAGTGCTGCGTGGAGGATGGCCCGGAAAGCATTGACTCCATCATCGACATGGACGCTGTCTGTAAGAGGGTCACTACGCTGGGCCTGGACGTGTCCGTGACCATCTCACAGGATGCCGGAAGGTAGGGCTCCTGGGGGTGAGTGTGAGTGGTGGTGGTTTCCCTCGTCTACTGGCCCAGGCTAGCAACGGGCAAGCCAAGTGTGTTGACTTTGGCCTCTGTGGGCTGAGCACTCACCAGTCATGAGCCTCAGAGCTAAGTATATGCTCCCAGAGGTCCCACTCATTCTGCTTCCAAGACTCATGATGTGTGGGTCTGCCCATGTGTCCTCACCCAAGCCCTGGCGTCTGCTGCGTGGGCACTACCCCAGCCACCTCTCTGGTGGTCCTCCTGCCCTTCTGCCCGGGCCCAGACAGTCCTCCCCCTCTAAGCATTTGTTTTTTGTGGTAGTTTTCTGTGGCTATCATGACAAAGCCCATCAACTTGGTCGCTTAGGACAACCAAGATTCATGCTCTTCTAGTTCTGGAGGCTAGAAGTCCAAAGCCAAGTCCAAAGTCCAGATCCTTCTGTTGGCAACATTCACTCCTTCTGGAGGCTCTGAGGGAGACTGTTCCCAGCTTTTGGTGGCTGTTGGTAACACTGGGGGTTCCTTGGCTTGGGGCTGTGTCACCCCAATCTCTGCCTCCATCTCCCCATGGTGTTCTTCCCTGCGTGCATGTGTTTGCAGGCCTGCTTACGAGGACCCCCGTTGCTGGATTTAGGACCCACCCAAGTCCGGCAGGATGTCATCTTAACTAGTTATATCTGCAAGACCCCTGTATCCAAATAAGGTCGCATCTTGAGGTTCAGGGTAAACATCAGTTTGAGGAAGAAATAGCCTCTTACAAGTCTTTTACACATTTAAATCAGATGGTGTCCTAGAATAAAATCCCAACCTATCTCCAACATCCACAGGGCATGTGTGGTTTGGCCCTTGCCACCTCTCCCCCCTCATCTACCTTTGCTCTCCCTGCCCCTACTGCATGCCAGTCCCACCAACCAGCCTCCTCTGGTTGCTCCAACACAGCAGCTCATTCGAGCCTCAGGGCCTTTGCTCATGCTGTGGCCATGAGCAAATGGAGGATGAGGGAACTCATCCTCCCTTTGATAAGGCATCTTTCAGGCCTTAGCTCCAACAGGTGGCCTTCTTGGTGGCGGGGGGGGGGTCTCCTCAACCCCCTAGACCAAGTTGAGTCCTCTCTGTTCTGTGTCCTGTCAGCACCAGTGTCTCTGTTTCTCAGCACTCTGTATACTTCTCCAGCCCAAAGGCAGCAGGTGGCAGATTCAGTAGACTGAATGGAATAACCGAATTTGCCACCATTCTGTTTTTAAAACTAATTCTGAATTGCACAGATAATTCTAGAATATCTTCTCATATGTTCCCATCGTGAAAAATTCTCTCGCCTTCTCTCCTTCTCCCTAGCAATCCCTCTATTAGATCTGAGATTTAATTGTAAAACCTCCTATACCTTTCCATAGACAACCAACCCTTGGACAATGTGGGGGGGAGGGGTGCTGACCATCCCCCTATGTAATTGAAAATTGTGTAACATTTGACTCCCCACCCCCCAAATTTAGCTACTAATAGCCCGCTGTTGACCAGAAACTTACCGCTCACATAAACAGTGGATTGATACACATTGTGTTGGTTGTATGTGTTCTGTACTGTATTCTTACAATAAAGTCAGCCTGAGAAAAGAAAATGTTATTAAGAAAATCATGAGGAGGGGCACCTGGCCGGCTTAGTCAGTAGAGTGTGCAACTCTTTTTTTTTTTTTTAAGATTTTATTTATTTATTTGACAGACAGAGATTACAAGTAGGCAGAGAGGCAGACAGAGAGAGAGGAGGAAGCAGGCTCCCTGCTGAGCAGAGAGCCCGATGTGGGGCTCGATCCCAGGACCCTGGGATCATGACCTGAGCGGAAGGCAGAGGCTTAACCCACTGAGCCACCCAGGCGCCCCGAGTGTGCAACTCTTGATCTCTGTGAGTTTGAGCCCAGTGCTGGGCATAGTGCTTACGTTAAAAAACAAAAATCATAAGGAGATGAAAGCAGCCCACGTATGCATTGGCTGATGAATGGATAAGATGTGAGATATATCTGTATAGAGATACAGATACAGACACACACATAGGAATATTACTCAGCAACCAAAAAGAATGAAATCCAGCTGTTTGCAACAACACGGACAGAGCTAGAGACTATTGTGCTAAGTGAAATAAACCAGAGAAAGATAAAGACCATGTGATTTAGTCATGCGTGGAATTTAAGAAACAGAATAAACAAGCAAAGGAGAAAAGAGAGAGAGAAACCAAAAAACATTTTCTTTCTTTATTTGACACACAGAGCACAAGTAGACAGAGTGGCAGGCAGAGGGAAAGGGAGAAGAGGACTCCCCGCGGAGCAGGGATTCCCCAGGACCCTGGGATCATGACCTGAGCGCCCCGTCAAGAAATAGATTGTTAGCTGTAGAGAACAATCTGCGGTTTACCAGCGGGGAGTGAGGGAAATAGGTGGTGGCCGTGAAGGAGGGGACTTCTCATGCTGAGAGGCCGGTGACGGATGGACGTGTTGAATCACTATATCACACACTGAAACTAATAGAACACTGTAGGGGCGCCTGGGCGGCTCAGTGGGTTAAGTGTCTGCCTTCGGTTCAGGTCATGATCCCGGAGTCCTGGGATCGAGTCCCACATCGGACTCCCAGCTCAGCGGGGAGTTTGCTTCTCCCTCTCCCCCCTGCTCATGCTCTCTCTCTCAAATAAATAAATAAAATCTTTTAAAAAATAATAGAACACTATATATGAACTGGAATTAAAAACTTAAAGGAGAAAACCACGAGAAGATATATTTACAGTACTGTCTTCTATTTCTTGAAAACAGTCCTTGAAGACGTGGGTCTTTGCAGTTCCAACCCATGTTAAGGGTCAGCTGCCTAGGGAACACTTGGAGTGCTTCTTTAGGATTCTGTCCTAGTTTGCTCTGCTTTTCTGTGGATAAAGTGACAGGAAGTGCCTTTTCCTGAGAGTCCCCTTCCTCGGTTTCACTCGCGGGCACCCAACACGGGTCTTGGCGGAATCTCCGCTCCCCTCCGGGGCCTAGTGCATGCTTTGCAAATGGCTACAGGGTACTCATTCCTCGGTGTGGCTATGTGTGAAGCCACACTTCTCTCCGTAGACAGTCATGTTGTGCCCCAGCCCCTTTATTATGCTCTAACAAACCACCACCGACCGGGCAGCTTATAAGCACCCAAGAGTGATGGCTTACAGTTTCGGAGTCTGGGAAGTTGAAGATCATGGTGCCAGCCTGGTCACGTTCTGATGAAGGCCTCCTTCCAGGTTGCAGACTGCTGACTTCTTGTTGCATCCGCACATGGTAAGAGGAGGAGGAGAGCCCTCAGGGATGTCCTTTATAAGGGCACTCGTGCCGTTCGTGAGGGCTCTCCATTCCCAAAGGCCTTGCCTCTTAATTCCATCCCATGGGGAGCTGGGATTTCAACACTGAATTTGAGGAGGGACATGCAGACCCCAGCGGGTTGCTTCTTATTCTGCCTTTATACTTAGCCATGCAGCGAACACCTTCTTCATCTGTCTTGTGCCCTCCTGCAGACGGCTTCTTAAGGTAGATTCTCCAAAACCAGCAAGAACCTGTCATCCAGCTCAGGCCTTTGCCATATTCCTAGCCTGCCCAATCCCCCCCGTGGGGCAACTAGCTGTATCCCACTCCCTCCTTCGTCCCATACACACCAGCACTCCGAGTTACCAGATTTGTCCATTTTTGCCAACCTGGGGAGCCAGGGTGGGGAGGGTAGGGGGGACAAGCATATTCCATCTTGTAGATTTCTGGCGAGGTTGGGGGTCTTACAGCCGATCTGGATGGAGGCTGTCCGATTACTGACTCTCTGACCCCGTTTTGGTCTTCCTCCTGCCCCCGATGCCCTGAAACTTAGGTACCTCTGTGACTTCACCTACTACACCTCGCTGTACCAGAGTCATGGCCGCTCAGCCTTTGTTCACGTGCCTCCCCTGGGCAAGCCCTACAACGCAGACCAGCTGGGCAGGGCGCTTCGGGCCATCATCGAGGAGATGCTGGATGTCCTGGAGCAGTCAGAAGGCAAAATCAGCTGTCGCCACAAACACTGAGAGCCTCTTGGGCCTCCCAAGATCTCGTCCTACTAGAGACCCCAGGAGGGATGTCCGCCCTCCCAGGACCTGGCCAATGAGGATCAGCGCATCAGCTGGGGATCTGATTTGGATCAATATTCTGACTTACACACTTCCTCTCCCTTCTTCCTCTGAGAAAGGGCTGGTCGCCTGGAAGGAGGTGGCTGAAAATTTTTTTCTCTATTTCCCTTTGCATCTGGGACACAGCCCCAGTGACTGGGAAGCTGGTGGCTTCTGATCTCCGCAGGGAATCCCGGTCAGGTGGGTCTTTGCTCTTGAGCCCTCAGCTGGGGCCACCTGCTCACCTGCTTTTCTAAGTCTCTGATGAAGGGATTCTGGAGTTCCCTCCGTCCATGACTGGTTTTTCCCAAACTTAAAACCTCCTTGAAGAGTCTTTGCCCTGAACCACGTCGCAACAGTCGGGATGGCCCCAGAAAGGGCTGCCCTGGGATATGGCTGGAGCTTTTTTTTCTTCTCTTTCTTATTCTCTTTTTTAAAAACAATAGTGCTAGTTTGGGCACAGAGGAATTTATATTCCCTTTGGTTAAAAGGCAGGATTTCGTGGACAGCAACATGTCTTTTCTTTTTCCTGGGATGCAGCCCTGTCTTGCCTCTTTCTCTGAAAACAGGACCCACGTCTTTGTATTGGAGCTGACATCGAGTTCCCTTTCCTCAGGGCCAGCGGGGCCTTTAGCCAGGCCGTGGGAGGGAGGTGGGGGAGAAGGGGGGTGGAAGCTGTTGCCCCAGGTGGTTAAAAAGGTGAGCTGACCCTTTTGACGCCAGAGCCGTGAGCTGTACCCTTGGGGACTCTGGAGCAGGGGTGGGAAAACAGCCCTTGTCATTTTGACCTTGCACATGACTTTTTTTTTTCTTATATGTAAAAATCTGTAGCAGCTGCAAACCCACCCCACATGTGACCCAGAGTTTTACAGGCTTGGTGCTGGGGACCAGCTTCTTGTTCTCCTTAAGTGGGGGTGGGGGGGTGGGGAGGCACAGAATGGGGCCCGGGGGCTGGAGTTTGCTGGTCTCCATGTGTGCTGGCGTGTTTGAGCAGGAAGGGGATGGAGCGGCCAGTGGGATTCTGTATAGATGGTTCTGGAGACGGGCCCAGGACTCAGGAGTAAATTTTGATCTCACTCCCTGGCAACTTTGAACTTAGCAACCAGGGATGAGAGGAACGTCCCCGGGAGGCCACTGAACTCAGCAGGACCTTGATATCCATCAGAGGAAAAGAATGACAACAGCAGCGGGGACGCCAACTGAGGAAAACACACATTTTGGAAGTGTTCTCCTATCTGGGGGGTGGGGTGGGAGGAAGACGGCGTTTTTATAATTTCCCGAAGTGCAAGGTGTGCTGGAGTCTGATGCGGGTTGGATCATGTCAGTGTTACCCAGCATGCAGTTCTTCCTAAAACAGATGAGATGCTTGTTTTGTTTCGTTTTCTTAAACACTCACCTTCTTGGCCTCTTGTTCTCATGGCCAGGGGAGTTCCTGCCTCGGCTGAGCGGCTCTGCCGCTTGGGAACCAGGTGGACGGGTTTCTGAGTTAAATGCATTTTCTGGATCCTGGGTTTTCTCTGGAGGGGAAAGTGGCTCCAGGTGGGTGACTCGGGGCCTGCACTTGGCAGTGAGTGTGGCCTATGGCTGGCAGGTTGAACTGGGACTCTGCCCTTCCCTCCATGCCAGCCTGCCGTCTGCCAGAAATGTCCTGTTTACATCCCCCGTCTGAGATTGTCATCTCCTGAGAAATCTGCTGTGTAGGGTTCTGTGAGCAGAAATTGTGGCTGTTCTGGATGTGGGGAGCTCGGGAGGATATCCCCAGAGGTCTTATGGAGAACATTAGGCTTCCTCTAGCTCTGTTCCCCAAAGGTCTGATCTGCAGGGGTGTGAAGGAGGAAACGAATTCAGGCAAGATGAGGAGGAAAAAGAGGGGGAACCTGGAGATGAGCCAGGCCTCAGCTTAGCTGGGTACCCACTAGAACCTGGACATACCATCCCCAAACTCCACATTTTCGTCTTTCCTTTGTCTTCATTTTGCCTCTCTGTTTAAAGCACCATGTGATTCAGAAATTTAGAAGTATAACTTATTGTCTGATCGTTGTTGAGTGTATGTGTGTCATTTTTGTGTTTCTGCAACGGTTTTAGGTTTTCTCATCAAGTCAAGCTGGAATCCTGTCCTCGTCCACGACGCAGAGCATTTTGCTCATTCTCATTTAATCAGACAGCCATTAAACACTTCACTCACTTACTGCCAGCTTTTTTTTACTTTGATTTTCCACCTTAAAAATTGGAAAAATGTTTCTTCTTTTGGGCAAACTCATCTGTTTTCTCCATGGTGTGTCTGTCTGCATTCGTTGGGTCTCGGACTGAAATGTCCCCCCGTGAGAAGGGAGAACGTAGGCCCATTCTTGCTCCCTTGTTCTTTGCAGAGTCTCAGGCGGAGGTGGGCACACAGAACGGGGCGGAGGGATGGGTCTGTGAAGTGGGTGTGGCTTGGCAGGGTGTGGAGGGGAGAGATGCGAATGGTTGGGCGGCAGGTGTTCCAGGTAGAAGAATGGGCAGAGGGATGTGGTGGGAAGGCTGCTGGGGAATTTCTTGTAAGAAAGCAGAGTGGGGGCTTCTCTCTGGCCCCCCGTGGGGGTTGCTGAGGCTGGGGGAGAGGGGCAGCAATGGTCATCTGGGTGTCTGGTGGTAACGTCTCCTTTATGATATCAGACCCTCTACACCTGACACCTTTCTTCCTCTCTCGGCCCCTTCGGCTCCCCCTTGCTCACCGAAAAAAGAAGGCCAGTGTTATGGACGTGATCTTGTAGCTTGAAAAAGAAGTAAGGAGACGTTAGTAAGAAGGAAAAAAGGGAAGAAGCAGAAATTGGAGTTGGTGGACTGGGTTTGTGCCACCTGGGCCACGTGGTCCAATCAAGGAACAGCCAAGGTCCCTTGGCCATGGGGAGAGACAAGAGCAGGTGGGGGACAGAAATCATGGCTTCCCAAGAGGCGCCAGGCCTTTGCGGAATTGTCCAATTGCAGTGGTTTTGGCAAGGAAAGTCGTTTTCAGCTGCCTTGCTCTTGGCTGGCATGGTGACTTCTAGAACAGAAAAGGCCTGACCAGGGGGATGGCTGGAAAAGGAAATTCAGGATGCCTTTTTTTGTCTTGGAAGTTTCTGTCAGGAAGCCAGGCCAGCTGGTGTGTGTGTGTGTGTGTGTGTGTGTGTCCGCTCCCATGCCTGTGTGCCCTGGGGTGGGGGTGGAGGGGCGACGGGGCCAGGGAGGGGAGCTGCTCCTGGAAATCCACCCACTGCCCTGGCCTCTTTTCTGCTGCCACTGTCTAGACTGTTGACCTTTGACCTCTCCACCCCTTGGAGTGTTTAAACCCAAAAGTCCCCTTTGCAGGGACAAAGCCCCATTCTTCTCCTTGGGCTCCAGCCTCCGTGGCAGCCTGCAGCCGGTGTGGGGCGCTGGTGGTCCCTGTGGGCAGAGCCTGGACACTCATTCCCAGGTCGCTCCCCGAGGCCACAAATCCCACCATATCCAGCAGACCGAAGAGGGCTTTTGGTTTATATCCCAGATGAAATTTCCCTTCCCCAGGCACAAGTGCCTCATAAGGGCCTGGGGCTGCTGGCCAGGAGGGAGAGCATCTCTATTTTTGCAGCAGGGAAGTGAGGTCCAGCCCTGAGCTCCCCTGGCCATTTTTCTCTCTTCCCACTCCCCTGCCCCGCCCCAGGCCTTATTTTCAGCTGCCCTGAGACCCACAGAAGTGCCTGCCTCTCCAGTAAGCATGGGGCACAGAGAAAGGGGATGAGCTGGGAAAGAGAGAAGAAACCCCAGGCTCTGCGGCGGTGGGGGGGGGGTCCTGGTTCCCCCAGGGCCCAGCCCAGGGTCACCAGAGCCATTTACAGAGCTGGGGGTCTTGGGTGAGCAACTTCTGAGGCTGGCACAGTTTGTTTCTAGCGAATCCCAGAGAAAGCCAGTTTGGAATTGGGCTCTCTGCTCCCAAGGCCTGTGGCATCCCCAGGGACCAGGGAAGCCACATCTGGGTCTTGGGAAGCAGAGCTGGCTTTCTGCCCACCCTGGGGGGACCTGGCGCGTTTCTGGGGCTCCCTTAACATCTCAGGTTTCTAGCTCATCCTAAATGTCTCTTTAGGAAAAGCCTTTCCTACCTAAGGTAACTGGGTTTTCTGTCCCCCCAGGTGGGCCTGTCCCCCGAGCCTCGGGGTGGCCTCTCCCTGACCCCCAGAGTTCCCTATGAGTGCCTTGTCTGAAACTCTCCTGTCTGGGAGCCCAGGCTGGGGAAGGGTCTGCCATGACTTTGCTGGGGACTGGGCTCTGGAAGGTCCCAAACTTGACACCCCAGGAAGCAAATAAAACAGTTGAAATATGTGATTTCTTGTGTCTCTTTGTGAGAGGTTAGTGTCCACTGGGGTCCCCCTCCGCCCGAGGGCCTGAGTGGGCGGAATGGGGGCCCTGATTCACTGAGATTTCTGTCGCTGGTATATGACCTGGGGCTCAGTCTGTGGCCGATGTTATGATTGCACTGAGTTAAGAATGATAAGATTTCTGTATGAATGAGGAGAGGATTTCTGTACTGAACAGTCTCCCTTCCACAACCCAGTGCCTTTGTTCTGAAGCACAGAGAGGCTGAGTAACTTGCCTGCAGTCACACAACAAGCTGGTGGGGTGCTGGGATTTAAATCACAATTGTTTAGACGTCCAGCTTGTGCCAAGTTCCCACTCACAACCCTGGGGTGGCGGGGGCAGGTTCCGTTACCCCCTTTTACAGACAGGGAAACTGAGGCTCTGCCAGGTGAAGACTCTTGTCCCACGTGTCATGGCCAGGTTGCGGAGAGGCAGGGAACCCGCCAGCTTCTCTGGAGCTAAGTAGTTTGAACCAGAAACAGGATTTGGTCATTCACCTATGTATGTCCGCAGGATGAAGACATTTTAAGAGTCAGTGGCTTTCAAAGAATAGATCTCTGAAACCAAAAGGACTTGTCTTGGAGAACGTGGGTTCCAAGGGAGGGGAGACACAGGGTCTTTTCACCCTCAGAGCAAGTGTCCTTTGCACCCCGCGCAGCCCCGGGCATGTAACTGGTGTGTAATAAACCATGGAAGGACGTAGGAAAAGGGGTGAGTGCCCGGTGTTCCGTCCTGAGGCCAGCAGGGGGCGCAGAGAGGCGGTGGAGCCTCCCGAGAGCGGAAGACCTGCCCCAGAAGGCCAGCTTCCTTCTCCAGTCGACCTGCCTACGCTGCGTTTTCCTTGCCTTATCCTGTGGCTGCCTTGGTCATTTATGAAGTGCCTACTGGGCATTGGTTCCTGGGGCTGGGGACACATCAGGGATCCAGCAGTTTCCAGCCTGGGAGTACAGCGCAGGGGACCCAGTAATAATGAGGGTCGCACAGGCAGCTGAACAGTCCAAGGCAGATAGGGGCAGGTTCATTTGAGGGTAAGACTTAGAAAGGCCTTGCTTGACCCCATTTTAGAGAGGCCTCGCTTGGCCCCATTCACCAGTTTCCCTCAGCTCTTGCCTGGACATTCTTAGTCTTACTTGGGGATGAGGGTCTTGGACACCAGTCTCACCTATTGGTCCACCCCATCCTGGGGATCTAATGGGGGTCCCTCCCCACCTCTCATACCCTCCATGGCTCCCTTTTG